TTCCAGCCACCTGACTCAACAGCAGTGTCTGGCTTTGCGGGACAGCTGTGGCTTTAAATGGCTTTCGAGCTTAAGATGCTTGCCTTATTTACTTAGCTGCTGTTTTAGTGCTGGGAGCAGGTCCTTCCCAATAGGTAGCTGGGAGGAAAAGTTCAACAAGCATGAAAAAAGTGAGGCGGGCAGTGGAGAAGAACTTGGCTGTAGAATTCAACTTTCCTATTTAGTTTCCTCAGCTCAATAGAAGTCTTTAAAATAGGGAACTTTCCACTCCCCCAATACCTCAATTATTATTATTTTTTACTGCCAGAGGGCATATATGCTGGCCAGAGGGAGACAGAGGGAGAGAAAGCAACCCCCAATGGGGCATGGTCAGGACTCAAGCTCCTTTCCTCCACTTCTCCACCCCATTGGGATTTTGCACATGCATGCACAAATGCCCAGTGTGTTTTTCCAGTCACCAGGGCCAGGATTTGAACCATGATCAGCCATGTGGGGTATGGCTCCCTGAACTACTGCGTTATGGAGCTGGTCCAATTCCTTATTTCTAGTAGTTTACTACTGAAAGAGGGACTGAAGACTCAGTAAAGTAGCTGGCCTAAGGCGTAAGGCAGGACTGAGGAGTAGGCATACTAATTTGCATACCTCCAATGGCCTATGAGCAGATAACAATTCAAGGCTGTTAGGCTTACTGGACTACTTCCTAGAACCCGCCCCTTTTTTGGCTATTTGATTTTAGGAGTTTGGAAGTCATTCATTCATTCATTCATTTAGCAAATATTTATGGAGCTAGGGGCTAGGTCCTGCCAAGGCAAAGTTGACCCATTGTTTGGACAAAGGTTTGTTGAATCCCTGCATGCAGGCTCAGGCTCATCTTCTACCAGCTGCAGTGAGAAAGGCATTGACTCTACCTTCTCAAATCCCAGTGGGGAACAGAGGAAAACGAATGGCCAGTTATAATCGGATGCAATGTGCTAAGAGAAATTTCATAAGATGTTAAAGAAGTTCTTAATAAGAACCACAGACCTAACTTTGGGGGTTTATAAGAAAGCTACAATTAAGCCAAGTCCTGACTCATCCAGGTGAGGAGGGAGGTGCGAGAGAGGCAGGAGAGAAATTGTAACAGGCAGAGGGGAGAGCACACGCCGGAGGAGCCAAGCTAGATTATGCTACAGCAGAAGAAAAACCCTAAAACTCTCTGTGGCTTAACATGAGACAAGATTATTTCTCATTCATGCTGTCTGGAGTCACTGCCGAAGTCTCTGTCCTCCATGGGGTGACTCAATGATCCAGGATGGTTTCATCTCAAGACCCTAGTATCTCAATATGTGGCTAGAGAAGAAGAGGAAGGGGAGAGAGGGAGAAAGGGAGGGGAGTAAGAGAGGCAGAAACGTGGAGGGGGGGAGCATTAGAGACTAAATGCTTTAGCCTTGGAGTGACCAAACAGCTTCTGCTCACAGCCCATTTTCCACGTAATTACTGCAGGGCTAGGAACGTAGGGAACACAGGTGATCTTGGTGAGAGACACTGTGTCACACAGTGAGTTGTGCATGTTGGGAAACAGCGAGGATTCAGATGTCTGGAGCTTATTGTGGGTGTATCAGCCCCCTCCAGGCTTTCAGGAGACGGGAGTCCTTGAACTCACTCTATGGGAGAGAGAGGCTGGGCATGTATGTAGTATGCATGATTGCATGCACCCACGTCTGTGCAAGGAAAGAGGGCAGGGCTTCTCCTCTGCCTATGTGGCTAGAGAAGAAGAGGAGGTGACAGCCACCTCCGCCAGGGGTTAGCAAAGCCCGGAAGGAAACTCCAGGAAAGCATCTGCTGGAGCAAGGGCGAGGGGAGGCCGTGGAAACAAAGGGGCTGGCTGTAGGGCAGAGAGGA